TTGCTTTCTTTGTGGTTCATTTTGATCTATAGTCACAGGTGCACTTCTTGCCACCAGTGGGAGCAACAAAACCCTCACTAGTAAGGAATGGCTTTCCCCAGATTTTTGTTCTCATAAAATCACGTATTGTAAACGTGACATTTTGTATTTGCTGTGCATTATGCCAATAATTATAAGGTTGATGCAGGTAAGATGTGTGTTTTTTCAATTAATTCTAACGGACATAATCAATACCCTTGTCTTATTTGTGTAGCACCATTGCAAAGTGGATGTTCCAGATGGCGAATTTTCTAGATGACTAAGTTTTACTTTATGACCTCCTCCAAATAATTTTTTTTAAGTTAATGGACTTTATTTATATATTTTTTTAGAGCAGTTTTAGGTTTACAGAAAAATCGAGCAGAAAATATGGAGCTCCCATCTACCCTCAACTCCCACCCCCAGTTTCTCCTCTTATTAACTTCTTACATTATATTAGTATGATATATTTGTTACAATTGGTGAACTGATGTGGATCCATCATTATTATTATTCAAGTCCCTGGTTGACATTAGGTTCACTTTCTGTTATACACTCTTATGGATTTTGACAAAAGCATAATGTCATGTATCCATCTTTACAATAGCAGACAAAATAGTTTCACTGCTCAAAAATTCCCTGTGCTACACCTATTCATCTCTCCCTCTCCTCCCAATCCCTGGCAACCACTGACCTTTTTACCGACTCTCTAGTTTTGTCTTTTCCAGAATGTCATATAATTGGAATCATCTATTATGTAGTCTCTTTAGACAGACTTCTTTTACTTAGCAGTATGCACTTAAGGTTCCTCCATGTCTTTCTGTAGCACAATAGCTCATTTCTTTTCAGCACTAATACTCCATTGTCTGGATGTACCGCAATTTGTTTATCCCTTCACCTACTGAAGGACGTCTTGTTTGCATCCAAGTTTTAGCAATTATGAGTAAAGCTGCTATAAACATTCATGTGCAGGTTTTTGCAAGCACATGAATGTTTATAGCAGAATGTTTTCAACTTACTTGAGTACGAGTGTGATTGCTGGAATGTATGGTAAGAGTATGTATAGTTTCATAAGAAACTACCAGAGTATCTTCCAAAGTGGCTGTACCATTATACATTTCCACTTGCAGTGAATAAAGGTTTCTGTTGCTCCACATCCTCACCAGCATTTCGTGTTGTCGGTAGTTTGGGACTTGCCATTCTAATAGCAATAATGGTCACAAGCCTAATACCTGTTTCACTAGGTTCACTGATAGGTGTGTGATGGTAACTCATTGTTTCTGTTGCAATTTCCAGATGATTTGACCATTTTTTCATATGCTTATCAATTTGAAACTTTGCTAAAGCGTCTCACGTTTATTCCTTGAGTTTGTAAACTGAGTTTGTACCCTTTTCTTTAGGATTCAGAGTTGTTATGAGATCAGTCAGTCTTGTTTTATGCCACAGCAGTTAATGGAGGGGTACCAGGCCTTTTTTTTTTTTTAAATCTCTCTCACTGATTGGTCTTTGAGTTTTGATGTTTGCTTTTATAACATTTCCACTGATCTCTATCAGCCTTTCTTCCTCTTCCAGCGTCCTATTTCCAGTCTTCAGTAAACCTAATAAACTAGTTGTTAGGCTTGTTAGCGTCATGTATAGATGAGTACTGCCGTTTAGGGATGAGGCATGCTGGGGAGGTCTGTTCTTTGGGCTCTAGTACTGTGTGTCGTTTCTCTGGGCTATCCAGAGAAGAGGCCCACCAGGAACACCTCTGGGATCCAAAGATAAAGCTTCGTTTAGCTTTAATGTGTTTGCCCAGAGACGCCAGGAATTTAACTAGAAATTGTGATGGAAGGTAGATGCTGCTAAGGGACTCCATCCCTTAGCAGCATCAGCTGCTACCTTTTCAGTGATAAGCAGAAAGGCAGGGTGGGCTCAAGCCTCACCTGGCTGGTTCCAACAACTGACACAACGACCCCGGAGGCTGGAGGCTGGTGCTCAGGTGCTCCTCCCCATCCCTGGCTGGATGGCACCACTTCAACTGCACCTGGTTAGGCAGATGCGGGGCTTCACCTGGGCATTCCTCTAGTTCCTGCTACACCCAGAACAGGGCGGAAAGCAATCAGGGGAGAGAGCACATGTGCTCAGTGGTTACTTCTTACCCTGTTTACAATTGGAAAAGCTTGATGGCCAACTCTTTCCTAGTTTTGCCTATTCTAGTATTTTATTAATGCCTTCCGTGTAAGTTTAGAGAGACTCACCAGCAACCTACAGCATTGAGAGCTGAAATTAAGAGCAAGTGACTTGGTCCCCTCTTCTTACAGATGAAGAGTTGAACCAATGAAAATTTAAAAATATATGTTCAAGATCACATTCTGACCTGGAAGCAGAACTTACATGTGTTTCTGATCTTGAAGAATGCTGCAGACAAGGCTTAAAGAAAGCAAGTCAGATGGCAAAACATTTATTAAGGACCTTTAAGACTGTAGCAGGTTCCAACACAGACAATTACCCAAGCTGATGATGGTTAAAAATGAGAAATGTAAGGTAAGTTGACATCACAGGATTAGAACTAACATAATGTTTACTGTGTGCTAAATACTTCTATTTTATTAAATTCATACATTAGCCCTAAAAAATATATTTACTCTTACTCTATTTCTTCAGAAGAGGAAACAGGCTTATGGAGTGACTTGCCCTAGTTGAATGGCTCCTAAGGAGTGAAGAAGGATAGGAACCTAGGTCAATTTGGTTCCATAATACATTATTTTGCCATATTCTAAGATTACTCTCAACAATCTTAAACACACAGAGAGCACTCTATTTTTAAAATAAATACGTTGCATTCACCCATTTTTCTGAGGTTGTTAGTCACTTTTTAATCTTGTTTTTCCCTTAATGATTTTTTGTCAGATTTTTAGGTAGACTACTCTGATAGGTTCTGTTTCAGAATTTATGCTAATAAGGCAAGAAAAGAGGGCTCTTGTGGGATTTAAATGAATTTGAGACTATTGACTGCCATTTGCTCTGAGTACATGTATATACCTGTTGTTTTTAAGGGCAACACTTTATGAAATGATCTAATCATTCTAAGAATTCCCATGAATCATATTTGGACCACCAAACTTTGGCGACATAGTGCTTGTATTACTAGGATCTCCAGCAGTGCTCTGCTGACTGGAAAGGACAGCTTCAGAGTCCTTAGCTGGACATATAGTTGTCACCAGGGCAACACCAAGTCATGGGGCTCATTGTCCAACTTTGAAGCACCAGAGTGAAGTTAATTCTGAATCCTCAAAATACTGACTATGACCATACCACCTTGAACACACGCAGCCTCGTCTGAATGTTCAAAATGTCTGTCAATGAGTACTTCTTAAATAATTTTTAAACAGCTAACCATAGTATGACTACTGCATTCTATAACATAAACCCTGAACTGTGGTGTTAGTAATTATTGTGTAATTAGATGTGGATGAATTGAACTTCATTCGGGGTTTGTCAAGTACCTTGAGCTATTTTTCAAACATTTTGAAATACGTTTTGTAACATTTCTCAAATGTATTTCCTTTAATTTTTAAACCCTTTTAAAAGTGTTTATTTTAGGGGAAATTTAATCCATATGTTTCTGATTCATTTTCACTTAACTCATCAAAGTCGTTTCCTGAGAACAATTAGGTTTCTAAGAAGCCTGAGAAACTCTTCTCATGAATTCTGTCAGCCCTTAAAGGCCTTTTTCCAGTCAAAACTTTTTCCCCCAAAGATAAATAAATGTGGATGAAATGTTTCAAGTTTGGTTTACAGTACAAAGCCCATGTTTCAAAACCTAACCTAGTTGTGAATTTAGGAGAATAAACCCTTCTGCCTTTACCATAAGCACTCACTCCACTTGTTGCACTTCAAAGCAAGTATCTGCAAAGAGTTTGCAATAACTGCGCCCTCTTGAAAACACAGAGCGTTGTCATTCTATACTGTTTTCCCAAATTCATAGCAAAGGTGGCAGAGGTCGGCTGAGTAAACATTAAACTGAGTCGGCTAGTTACTGGGGGTCTGCCACTTATGCAAAATGTATATACAGTACATAGTCACGTGTATACCATTTAAATTCTTGTAGGTTAACTTTTTTGTTTTTACCTGTACTTACACATTTTAACAAAATTTATTTTGTATCCTGTATTAATAATTTATTGTGAAGTGACCACAATTGTTCTCATCTCTCTTCAGAAATGTTTTTCGCCCGAGATTTAGTTCAACAGGTTTCTGTTGCCTAGCAGTAGGTTTTTGAGAATAGCTTTTTGTATAGCCTTAATTGAATGGGTTGATTGTATGAGATCTTCTTAGCGAAAGTAAGGTCATTGCAGGGAAGGTAAAAGGAACTATGCTGACAACTAATTGGACAGAATGTCATAAACCACAGTGGCTCTGGAAGAGATCTGCAGAAAACATAGCAACAAATGAAGGGAGTTTGTCGAAGGCACCTAGAAACTGCATTCAGAAATATTCATGTTAAAAGAAAGGCACCATTTTCCGTGGTTCTCATTAGGGAATTGTTTAAAATACATATTTGCTCATCATAAGAAATAATAACCTCTTCAGTTCCTACTTTTAGTGGAAACTTCTTCCCTGGGTCGTTTAGTACAGGATTATTACACGATAAAAACATCTCTGTGCTTTTCAAAATAAACTCATTTCTTACATTTCTTTACTTTGTGCCATAGATGAACTCCTAGTCTTGTAGGAAAAAAAAACTTTTATGATAATTCCTTTTTAAAACCAACACTTAAAATTTTCTTTATTTAAGCCAAAATGCAAAACCTCTTGCATTAAGGGAGACTTTTACCTTTTACTTTGTATTTTTTTAATGTGATAATTATTTACTTTGTAAAAGAAATATGAAGTAAAGATTTTTCAAAGCAATATTTTTAGAAATCAAGTCAATGTCTGCCCTTCTGTCTCCCAAAAGCTGTTGGCCTAAGTAAGAGTCAGTCATAGCTCTGGACCCC